TGTATTAAATTAACGGTGACCCGTGATATTTTCAAAATAACTTCTAATAGAAACAAGATAGAGACCTACGATTTACGCAGGACACCTCTAGGCAGCATTATCTACTAGCTTAGGAGCAATTGAGCGGGAAAAATTACCTGCAGGTGGTGTACCCGTTGGAATTATTCTTGTCAAAAAACGCTTTCAGAGAATCTTTGCGATGTTTTCGGCTTATTGGTAAATACTTCCAAAGCTTTTGTTTTATGTACTTCTGTTTGCTCTGCTAGAAAGAGCGTGTTCGAAAACCCATTAAAGTTTACTTTTCTCAGTTCTGCACAGCTATGAATAGGAAAAAAGTTCGGAATGAATCTCTCCCTACAAAAAAAGTCTCCCTACATTTTGCGGCATAACGCGAAGTTTACTAGGAAGACATCAACTTTAAGTGCTGAAATTTTTACCACTCATACAACTTCCCACCTGCTTCTTGTTCTGAAAGTTTGAAACAATTTAGATACAATCTCATTGACTTATGGACAACGCAAGTTTCAAAATCTCTCTCTACAAACTGAGTGAAAAACCTAAACTTAGTCATTTTTGGACCACTTAATAGGCGTTTAGTCAAATACTTTTGTGTGTTTTCTGGAGTGTTTTTGATGCTCTATCTCATGGTGGAATGAATTTTACGCTTAAGTGCTGCCTAAATCCGTTAGACCGATTTTGATGTTTCCCTACAATTTGTACGGAAAACTTAATTCTCTAAAAACATCTGTGCCAAAGTGCTGAAGCCAAATCGTAAATAATATAGGTGGATAGAGAATTTTCCGCTCTACACGATCCACTGGTCTGCTTTTTCTTTATCATCTGTCTTTGATGTGAAAATCGCGTTTTTATTCATGCTAGTCAAGATAAAAACGCGTTTTTCTGCTTTTTCATGCGTGTATCTCACTCACCTGAAAACATAGAATACTCAAAATTTTATCAGTAGTGAGAGGTGATGAGATGAGTAAAATAAAAAAAAAATTTAGGAATCCGACATACCACTACGGATTTATGGCAGAAATGGTACTAAACGACCAATTGTACAATTAATATACGATTCACTCACATCCGATTAGGATCACATACATCCGATGAAAATCACTGTTCTCTACCAATAAGCGGCGTAGATGATATCTAAGCATATATTCATGCACTTCAAATAATGCTCTTCACAATCAGAAAAATTTTATAGTAGGTATTAACAGTAGCCAAAGAAAACAAGAATACATTTAAAACAATCCTTTTCGTTTTCGCCATACAAAAGTATATGTAAGCCATTGCTACAGTCTGGATGGGTGATCAATTTTTTTTCTCCGTCAAATTCAGAATCTACATGTAAAATTAGTCCATAATAACAAGTTTCAACATTTTCTGATGTATCTTCGGCGAGAAAAGAGCCACCGCAATTATCGTATGGCTACTGCTGAACTTCGTTGTCGCAAATTTCAACAACTATTAAGATGGCTGAAAAACGGCTAATGTCCAATTGTAGAGCATGTTTAGCAAAGCAAATCTGCCGGTTTGAATTTACCTGGGAACAGAGCCATTTTGTTTTTAGTCATCAAAAGTTTACCATTTTTCATACACTGATACTAATCCAAGCTCTACCATCAAGCAACCGCTTATATTCAAAAGTTGGTTTACACAGCAATCGATAGCTCATAAAGAGAGGAATGGATTGCATGTATTACTGTTACATAAAAGTGGATAGTGTAAGGAAAAACGTTTTACCCTTTTACCATCATTTTCGGTAAAACGGAATATTTTGTTAATTGTCCAACAAATAAAATATAGGGTCTGAAAATTTTTCTGATTAAGCAGTTGTAAAGCGCATGACTTGAAGTGCACGAATATATGTTAGATACCATCTATGCCGCTTATTGGTAGAGAACAATGATTTTCAAGTTGATCTAATCAGAGGTATGTGACACCTCCACCGCCCAAGGGTATAACTTTTTTGAAAAGCAAATATATCTCAGTAGTCATGAAGGAAGGATAGTTGAATAAACGCTGAAAGTTTCATCGAGTTTGAAGAACATTTTACATGCAGTGGCAGATTTCTGGTGGTACTACCTGTCATGGATTAATAAACAGTGTACTGTTTATTCATCTATGCTGGGTACACCCAAAAAAAAGAATGAGGAGAGGAGCCGAATCTTCGATTTGCTTAATGGAGAGGAAGGAGGGACGAGTTTTACACTGTTTATCCCTCCTTTTCTCTCGATAGTATTTCTCACCGCAGCTCCTTCTAATCACTCGTGTCTTCTGAAAATGAAATAGGACTGGCCAAATCGGAGAACGTGATTTTTACTAGATATTCTTTCATAAACGCTTCCTTACAATTTAGTACTAACATTGCGCGGAAGACGAGTATTTTCTTCAGCTCTGGTGACTACAATTGTACGTCCATTATTTCATAGTGTAGTATGCGGAAATTAAACGGTGGAAATTCTCTATAAATTGTACATGGTGTTACAATATTTATTGGTAATTGTTGTTGTCCAGCATAATTTGGATAACGTTGTAACCATAGTTCGGGACCAAAATCAACATAATTCCAGTCACTTCGATGTGCAGATAGTACCATCACACCAGTTGAATGAAGATGATGAGCTAATAAAAGGAGAACTAAGAAACTAGATATTTTTACCCACGTGACCGAGTATTGACTGTCTCAAGTGATAAAGTAAACTAGGGCGTTATTTTCTGGTGTGGAAACAGCTGTCTTTGTGAACTTGTTTCTTTCCTTTTAGCGAAGCATCAGGTTGTTGTCTGCCATCTTGTTTTTTTAGCATAAATTTCTTCCTTTTCGCCTGTTTACACAAATATAGAAATCAACTGTCAGACTTATTTGTTCATTATTATTTATTCCTGTAGGTTTCCTGTTTAATTGATTTTTCTCTATGGCTTCTTGTTGAAGTGTGAGTACATATTATTATTTTTACAGAAGGTTTGAATTATTAAAATAATGAAACATTTCTGTATAAAATAGATTGAGGATTTTATTTTCTGTTAGGTTTTAATCATTAGTTCTATAAGTTTCGCGTCTTACGCGTCGTTTTCATGTAGTTTTACTGGCTGGCCAAACTAGCGGTTGTCGTCGTTTAAATAATATTTTCTTAATATTGCGTCGATAGCTTCCCGATGAGAAATAGTAAGTGTAGAAACTACTTGAGATGAACATATAATTGTTTAGATATGTTATTGATGTAAATAAATTTTCAATTGCTAAACTCATATCGTCTTTTACGTAGTTAAATGTTATTGTTGAATAGACAAGTTTTACAGTAACAGGAATATTTGCAACACAAAAACATAGAATTTGTAAAATTAACATTATTGACATTTGATCATCAATACGTTGTTTAGTATTGGTTTTTCGCTGCTGTTGATTGATTACGACGATGGTGGTATTGGCAGAAACTATTGCAGAAACATTAGTTGCAGCAGCAGTAGGACGATGATGTAGACGTCTTACATTTCGATAAGTCATTATACCAAATAGTGATAGTAGAAGAATTGGAAGAATTGAAAGTAGAAACAGGCCAAGGAAATAGGTTAGATATGAATACCAAACTAATGATACATTAGTACAAACTGGTGTAGTGTCAATGAACCAGTAAATCAAGTCCGGTATTGCTAGTGTGAATGAAACAACAACCGCACTTAGAACTGTAATTTTTACCAATTTGATTGAACTCCATTGCCGTTGACGTGCATTGTGACATGTTGAATGATAACGATCTATCGATGCTAAACATAATGTAAGTGTTGAAATTATTAAAAATATATCACCGAAATAATTCATTAATTTACACCATACTAACGAACTTTCTGTACCATTTTTACCAAATATGAGCTGAATAACCGTTGGTATAAGAAAAATTAAAATTTCAAAGCAATTACTTATTTCTGTTATTAAAAGATACAGTGAACATGGA